ATATATGCTGCTTTGCCTTCATTATGTATGAAAGATATATCTGAGGAAATATATGCTGCTTTGACTTCATTATGTATGAAAGATATATCTGAGGTAAATATATGCTGCTTAGCCTTCATCATGTATGAAAGATATATCTGAGTAAATATATGCTGCTTTGCCTTCATTATGTATAAAAGATATATCTGAGTAAATATATGCTGCTTTGCCTTCATTGTGTATGAAAGATATATCTGAGCTAAATTGCGTAATTTGTCTATTACATTATCACTTTTATATTTGCACTACGTTTTTACATCTCTCTAAAAGAAGCAGCAGGTAAAATCCTAGAGTCTACACTACTCTCAACAAAAGGCAATTATTAAGAAGAGTAAAGCGTTAGGTTAGTGTTAAGATCTAATGCTACACTTTCTGCCTAGGGAAGTGATTCGAAATATTTGAGAATATTGAGTGTACTCCCTACTATAGAAGGTTTGCATAAATCTTGTTTAATGTCTATTTCTAATTATTATTTTTTGCTAAATGTATTCATTACCTGAGAGCTTCATTTTAAACGTTAATCAAACAGACATGGGACATACTTTATCACCTTAAATATAATTCAAATACACAATGAGGCAAACTTTATCATTTTAAACATAATTCAAACAGACAATGAGGCAAACTTTATCATTTTAAACATAATTCAAACAGACAATGAGGCAAACTTTATCATTTTAAACATAATTCAAACAGACAAATGAGGCAAACTTTATCATTTTAAACATAATTTAAACAGACAATGAGGCAAACTTTATCATTTTAAACATAATTCAAACAGACAATGAGGCAAACTTTATCATTTTAAACATAATTCAAACAGACAATGAGGCAAACTTTATTATTTTAAACATAATTCAAACAGACAAATGAGGCAAACTTTAGCCTTCTGTGATTGAATGACATACTCGAACAAATGTCGTTTGGAACCCGCATGTCGAGAAAAACATTTCACAGAATCTCCACTACTAGTGTACCTTGACGTGCAAAATTGCATTTAAGTGGACTTAAAGCACAAAAGTCCATTGGAACTGTATCGGGAGACAAGAAAGGTATTTGGCCGAATGGAGCTGCTGTGATTTTAGTTTTTCTGTCGTGAAAACAATTATTGATTTCAAGGTGTGGCCTACGAGCTTCTTGTTCGTAAGCCTTTGTAATATTTAAATCATTGTTTATTATCTTGTTAATAACGTAAGATATATATGTCCTGGCTCAACATAATGCTTTTTTTTTAGGTCGAAGGGTTCTGTTTCGCAACTTAATTTTTATTCTAAGGATATAAGCGTTCCACATTATAAGACCGGGTTGTGGTTTCGAGTCCGTTGCCGTCCTAAAACGCTCTACTTTGCTTCCATGGAGAATTTTGAAGGTTCTTTCATTCGAAGTGTTGCGGCCTTTGGCTCTGCATCGTTTAAAAAATCTCTCTACGAGAATATCTTACCTTGGATAGGATACAATCATTCAGACATTAAATTTTCGGAAATTCACCCTGATTAAAATATACAGGAACTAAAAATACTTCCCTCAACACATCTGCGACGGAATGGCACTGTGCATATAAATCATTTATATAAAATGTGATTAATTCTGTGTACTTTTGCTTTACAAGCTCTCTTAGAACAATGTAACTTGTACATAAGATTAGGCGACTTTTAACAGGTACTGTGGACACTAAAGTACAGTAGGCTTTACATTTGAAATTCACTTCTTGTGGATGGCGTCTTTACCTTATGCTCATGTATGATACACTTGTTTTTTTCTTCCAGCTAATTACGTCGCATGCCATCCGGGTTCAGACTCCACCACGTCATATCCCCGGTGTTGTGGAGGTCACGCTGTCGTATAAGTCTAAACAGTTTTGTAAAGGAGCACCTGGAAGATTCGTCTATGTTTGTGGGTATCTCTCTGAATTAATCTATCATTATTTCTATGTTTGTGGGCATCTCTCTGAATTAATACATCATTATTTCTATGTTTGTGGGTATCTCTCTGAATTAATACATCATTATTTCTATGTTTGTGGGTATGTCCCTGAATTAATCTATCATTATTTCTATGTTTCTGGGCATCTCTTTGAATTAATACATCATTATTTCTATGTTTGTGGGCATGTCCCTGAATTAATCTA